TCTCTGTGTATTCCTTTTCCTCAGTGTTATTGTGTTGGTCACTTGCTTTTGGTATATTGCCTTTCCCTTCACCCAAATCAATACTTGTCTCTTACCTATCTAGCAATTTTCTCTTTCAGCTAATTTTAAAAATCAGAATTATTTTTCATTTTGGTACTCATATAGTCTAGATGTTCTATATCCTTCTGAAAATATTACAACTGGAAAGAAATATGTTACCAGAATAGGATACTAATGATAAAATTAATAATAGCTATCTTCTATTGAAGGAGCTCTGGTAGTATAGTGGCTAAGGCATTTGGCTGCTAACCAAAAAGGTTGTCAGTTCCAACCCACCAGCCTCACAGGAGAAAGGTGATGCAGTCTGCTTCTGTAAAATCTGTATCCTTGGAACCCCTCTGTCCTAGAGGGTTGATATGAGTGAGAATTGACTTGATGGCAATTTTGGTTTTTTGGACCCTTTATTGACCTTCTCTTATGTAGCAGTCATAGTGCTAAGCTCTTTTTATGTATTATTACAATAACAGTGGATGAAGAAATTGAAAGTTAGAGAGGTGCTTTCTTTTGTCATTTCTACCACTAATAAGTGACCAAACCAAGGTTTGAAATGATGTCTGCTGGACTTTAAACTCTTCACTGTGCTGCTCTTGACTGGCATGGAATGAAACATAGCTATGTTCTCATTCTACTAATTTAGTCTAAGATTGCATTAATCTTCTTGGCAGCAGTATCATAGCATTGACTTATGTTAAGCTTGTATTCAAGTAAAACCTACAAGTCATAGTAAGATCTTAAATATATGAGTGTCTGTCTGGTCTGGCCTTCTTGTCTTATGTAATTAATTATCAATATAAATGCAGGACTTTGTGTTCATGTCTTCACCTTCCATCTTGGTGATTTCAGCCCAGATATCTAGGTTGCAAAGATAATTTTGAATTTTGATTCTGTTGTCTACAGTATTAACTGGAGGAAGTACAGTCAAAATGTTCTTTAGAAGTGAGAATGTCTAGACTTTATCTTTCATACTTTGGTCATGTTGTCAGAAGGCATCAGTTTCTAGAGAAGGATATCATGTTGGGTAAAGTAGAGGGTCAGCGAAAAAGGGGATGACCCTCAAAAAGATGGATTGACACAGTGGCTGTGGCGATGGGCTCCAGCATGGCAAGGATTGTCAGAATGGTGTACTGTTTTGTTCTGTTGTACAAGGGGTTGCTGTGAATCCGAACCAACTCAGTGACACCTAACAACAACAACCAGAGATATATGACCATATGCATCTTTGTCAAGTATCCCTGTTTTGTGTTTGTTTTAGTAATAAATATAATTCCAGACAGATTAGTGTTGAATAAGAATCTATCTATTTGTTTTTCCTCCAACAATTTTTGAAATGTACTTTTCTAAACTCAAGGATACATGTTCAGGAATGCCTATTCTTTTCTGACTATTTATAAAATTAATATTGTCACTTTATTTCAAGCTTCTGGTTGGAATCATGCTGAGGGTATTAGTCATAATTGCGGCTTTATTCTGCCTTCTGAGCACTGAATTTAGTAAATAGAAAGTAGGAAGTTAATAATGTCTAGGAGCTCTGGTAGCATAGTGCCTGAGGCACTGGACTGCTAACCAGAAGGCTGGCGTTTCAAACCCACCAGCCACTCCTCAGAAGGAAGGTTGGGCATTCCTACTTCTGTAGTGATACTGCCTCGGAAACCCAAGGAGGGGTCGCTATGAGTTGGGGCCGACTCGATGGCAAATAACAACACAACAACAAGGCATTTGACTGCTAACCAGAAAGCTGGTGGTTCAAACCCACCAGCCACTCCTCGGAAGGAAGGTTGGGCAATCTACTTCCATTGTGATACTACCTCAGAAACCCAAGGAGGAGTCACTATCAGTCAGATCCAACTCGACGGCAGTGAATTTGAGTAGCCTACTCTAAATTATATTTCTATCAGAAGATCTCAGAATAATTGAACTTTCCATTCACTCTTCATAGAATATGTTGTTACAAGTTTTAAAATTTCTTTTGGAAAAAATTTCTATATTTTTTTTCTAGATAGTCTGTGGTATACACCTGTAATAATATAACTTATTTTTTTTTCTCTTTTAGTTCCCCTCTCTTAATTACTGTACTTCACTATTAAACCAGTGAGTTTACATATAGAAATAACTTCTAGGGTTTAGTGGAAAGAACACTGGACTTGACTTTGAAAATTGCTGAATTTGAGTCTGACCATACTGTGTGAACTTGAGGAAATTGCTTAAGCTCCACAATGGACCTCAGTTTCCTTATTTATAAGATAGGGATAGTAGTATTTCTTCTTTATGATTTAGGATTGCAAACTCAGGTTGGAATTGCAAAAACAGATAACCAGAGGCTTATATAAATTGTGCGTGTGTCTCACACAGTGAGTTGTACCAGAAGATGGGCAGTATAACACAGGGATTGGAGATTTAGGCTCTTTTCATCTTTCTTTTACACAATTTTTAGTGTGTAGTCCTTCGCCCTCATGCTTCTTGCCTAATAGCCACAAAGTGGTTCTTATAACTTCAGGTCTTATGTCTGTGTTTCAGACATGAAGAATAGGAAGAACCAAAAGCCTAAACCAGAAAAACTGGTTTTCTCCTAGTGAGGCTTTGTCTTTTAATTGGGCAAGCTGTGTTTATGGATGTCTCCCTGTAGTCCATTGGCCAGAACCATGTTATGTGGCCACCTCTTGCTACAAAATAATCTCAGAAATTGTGTATTTTAGATCTTCAGTCTCTACATTGCAGGAAAACAAGGGAGAAGGAATTATGTTTTGAGTTTGGGTCAGCCAATCAACAACGTTTGCCACATTTTTTCTCAGGATTGCTGGAAAGATTCAATGAGGCAATGTGATTAAAAAGTTTCATATAGTGTAATTTTTAAATAACTATAAAGTATATTATTTCTCCTGTCTTTTATTGGATGGTTTTAAAAACTAGAGTGTATCTTTGAATTAATTTAATTTTGTGCCTTACAAAACCCTGTGAAATTAGTTACTTGGCTGTTGTTATGTGATTTCACTTTAGCAATTGGTAGAAATATGTGTAGACACGAATACTGCATTATTTCCAACCAGCTTCCATTTTCATCTAAGGATTAATGAGGACCATTTCCACATCTGGCTAATCTTTGTGTACCATACATCCTAACCCTCAGAGTCATGGGTTTGCATTTTACATCTGGGGTTTTCTCTTTCTTTCTCTTTAATAGACTTTATTATTTTTTTAGAGCAGTTTTAGCTTTACAGAAATATTGTGCAGAAAATAAGGAGTGTTCTCATTCACTGCCCTCCCACCACACCATTGTTTCCCCTGTTAACATCTTGCATGCCTGTAGTACATATGTAGCAATTGATGAATCAATATGGACAAGTTATTATTAGCTAAAGTCCATAGTTTATATTAGGGTTTACTCTTTGTATTGTACAATCCTATGAGTTTTGACAAATGATTAATGTCACGTATCCACCATTACAGTATCATATAGAATGTTTCATTGCTAGAAAATTGCCCTGTGTGCCACCTATTCATCCCTCCCCTGGCCCCTTGACCACCACTGATCTTTTAACTGACTCTCTGGTTGTGCCTTTTCCAGAATGTCATACAGTTGGAATCATATACTATATTGCTTTTCCATATTGGCTTTTTTCCAGACACTCTGTCCCCATTAAGCAGTAACTCCTCGTTCTTCACTATCCCTCACCCATGGTAACCACTAATCTGCTTTATGTCCTTGTGCATTTGCCTATTCTAAATATTTCATATACGTGAAATCAAACAGTATTTGTTCTTTTGTGCCCGGCTTATTCATTTATCATAATGTTCCAAGTTTCATCCATGTCCCTGGGCTTCTTTCTGAGAGTTCTGTTGGTGGGCTTGAAGATTGCTTTTCTACCCGCATGCTACTTGTCCTATATTCTCCTGGGTGTCACTGAGCATTGCTTAAGGAGCCAACTATTGGTATCATCAACCTGGCTATTAATTTTTTCTCTTCCCAAGTCGTTGATGCCAACAGTGGCAGAGTGGTTATTTAAAGCCCTTACTGTTAACCCTTCAGTCAGACGCCCGGAGTTGAGAGTCCCTAGAGGTGCCGTCCAGCCTGCTGCTGCAGTATCATCTGTTCCCATAAGAAGCACCGAAATTAGGTTTTAATTTGTAAAAATAAACAAATAACTTCTAGGCAGGAAGCTCCCTGCTAATTGGGAAGCATTCTAGATGAATGTTGCTTTTTGAGAAAGGCTGTTTTCTGGAGAGTAACATCTGCTTTGAGTAAAATCATACTAAAGAATAAAAAGCAGCCTATTGCTAATGGGAAAATAATTGGTAAAGAGGCAGATCTACAAAATGACTCTAGCCCTCCTGTTGCTCACATGAGAGACCCGCAAAATACTTCTGGGATGAAAGAGTGATTACTGAGTCAGAATGAAGTGATTTTCCTAGAGGTACCTGAAAAATAACAGGGCAAAACCACAGCTAACCCACAAAATGGCAGCCCTAACTTGAAACAAGATCGGCTGAGAGGTGAATTTGAAAAAAGGCCAAGTATCCTGAATACACATTTTGGAGCAATCATCTGGTCCTGTGGCATGAGGTAGAGGAAATGACCTTTGTAGTCACAAGTGTTCAGACAAAGTTATATTATTTTTCCCCATGGAGAGTGGTAAAAGATGTAAAGAAAAGGCCTCAGGAGGGAAATAAGTCCTGGAGGTGGGCTTAGAAAGAGACTGGAGGAGCGAGAATCTTAAATGAGGTCAGAGAGAGCTAGGAAGCAAAAATCTCCAACGAATTTGGAAATGACCAGGAATTTGTAAGATGTATTATAGAATCGGAGACCCTTCGGGTTTATTACCTCTGAGTCTCTTCAGTCTGAGGAAAATGCTGATTGTTTCTACCTTCTGTCATTCTTTTGGATGAAAGAAGACTTTGATATATGTTTTTTCCCCCCTGCCTGCTGGCTTTCTTTCCTTTTGTAGACATTGTTCGAAGCGATGTTGCCTTGGATAAGCAGAAAGGCTGCAAGATTGCCCAGCATCCTGATGTTATGCTGGAGCTCCAAAGGGAGAAGGCAGCTCAAATGCATCTGGTTCTTCTGAAGGAGCAATTCTCCAATACTTACAGTAATCTCATATTAACAGGTAAGGCCGCTGGAGTCAGCTGAAATCTTAGAGCTCATAGATTGATGGCCTTTATCAGTTAGGAGCTTGATAATTGGGAAACACTAGAGGGGGATCCAAATGAGTCTGTGCTTTCCTGTCTTCACCCAGGATATCCCTTAATTGTGATGGCTCTTTCCTTCCTATAACAAATATTTCTTGTAGTTTGCAGATGTGTTTTGTATTTGAGTTTATGGGCAATTCAGTATGTGTGTTCTCAAATGACAGAACCAATGAAAACCTAATGAGAGTCTTATAAAAATATGACTTTCTAGATGTGTGCCAGTAGATTTGAGAGAATTACTAAATTTGGAGTCTTTTAACAAGCAGCTCTTTTCCTTTTTCTGTGTATGCCCTTTCTATGAACCCAGTGAATATAAGGATGAAATGTAAAAGAGATAATGACCCACAGGCAGAGCTGAGGATATTCCATTCCTGGAGGAGTTTGAAAATATCTGGGGAATTTGACTTTCTTTTTAAGAGCAAAGAGGCTATGAGACTGAGCCACATACCCTTACATCCTTGGTTCTAAGAGCAAAATGAATATGTGTGTGAGCTTCAAGGAGAAACAACTTTTTGCAGAATTTGCCTGCAAACTCTTCTGGTAAAGAGCATGTGAGTTGCGTGCCTCTGTCAGGCTTTAAGAAGAATGTAATAGCAGGCTCTGATGGGAAATTCTTTCAGGATTTTGGATGACACTAAGAAGAGCACTCCAAGTTACCTCCATCTTCTTGAGAGCATGCAAGGCAGACCTGTACTGTATTGATCTAAATAAACTTAAACAAACCAAAAGTATGTCTTTTCCATTGTTTATGAATATTAAAAAATAATAAAAAGATGGTACATCTAACTGGCTATGAACAACTCACACTTCCTTTTTAAAACTCTAAATTAGGCAAATTTTAACTTTTTTTTACAGGCTTCTTGGCATGTCACAAGAGCTTGCTGAGTGGCAACCAAATTTGTTTTGTTTTTGAAAAAACATAAGATTCTTCCAACTTTTTATCTGTGCCTGCTGGAAAACCCAACATTATGAGATGAAAGCCAGATTTAAATGTGGCTTTTTGTGAGCAGAGAAGAGGATTATGGATTTCATAAATGTGGGCCCTGGTTTTTGCTCTTTGATACGTCATTAACGAGGGAAAACTTGAAAGTGATTTATGGCTAATGCATGCATTTTCCTAAATTGCTTAGTGAAGCAGGGTGTACGTTTTAAATGTTTGAGAAGAACATACATTTCTCTCCAAATTTCTTCAGTCTACCCCGCATTTACATTCGTACATATATTTAATATTTTCAAGTTCAACTATTACAAATAAAATATTTTTATTCCTTTCTTTTTTAGTATTTTTCAGGCATAAACTAGAGGAGTCAGACCCTGTGTTCTTTAATGTAACATAGAAATGGTTTAGGATAATTCTAACCCTAAACCCTGAATCCAGAGTGTGGCTTGAAGACATAGTATCTTTGAAAACATGAGTGTTCTATTGAGTTCAGTGGAATCTTTTCTGATTCTCAGCAACATAATCCCTCTGGATGTTTACTCCTAATTCAAACTGTTGGAATCAACATTGTCAACTTGGACCCTGACAACTTGCTTACTTTCCACTAAACAAACTTATCCCAGAGAAGAGCCTCTTTCCTGCTCTCGCTTCTCCCAAGCTGCTTCAAAGAGTCCTTAGGCATTTTCCACATTTTTCACCTAAATGCCTGTGCAGAGGTACCTTGCCATAGACAGAGAGTTTGGTGTGCCCTGGTTTGCTTACATGAAAGTTCAAAAGGTCTTCATTCCAGGTGTTGGGAAGAGATGGAGTCTTTCAGTTTAGCACCCATGATAAAACTATTTTAATGTCCTTTAACTAAGTCTTTGATTTTACACAGTGCGGTTTTCTAATTGTTATGAAGTTTAATCCTTGATTTCTTGTATAAATCTTGAGAACATGGTCTCCAGACAGCTAAACATAATATTTAAACATAACTAAACTAACTTTTGTAAATATTTCCCTTTTCGGTGATGAATGTGTGTTGGTAAGGAGGGTAAGGTTGAAGGGCCAGAGACCTCTCATAGGCAGTGACTTTCTTTACCGACACATTCAGAACACCTATTCTACGATTTCGGCTTGGTGACATTCTACTTTTTGTATCACTCTAGTATAAGGTTTGAAGTATCAGCAGTGAAAGCATTTATGTGGAACAGGATAAGAAAATGGGGCCTCCAAAATCATAGAAATAGAGCACTCTTCCATACCTCCCCCCAAGTATTTACAGAATTTCATGTCTGTGTAGCAGTGTATTATAACTCTTTTTTTTTTTTTTTTTTTTTGGGCAATTAGTGGTACATTTCTTATTTTTAAGATGAGAAACTAAGATCACAATAAAAATTTAATGAAGCGATTTAAATGTCAGTATAGTAAAAGCGGTTGAAATGTCAGATGGTTAAAGCATATTTAAAATGGTAGTTATTGTCCTCCACTTCACAAGCAAGTTCTCATTCTTAGGTCCTATGCCTTTAGCTGGTGTGACTTCAGCTGCTGAGGGAAAGGCTCACCTTCGTGTTTTGCGTTCCAGCTGACGATCCCCCTTGAACAGCCATTCCTCAGACGAAGACAAATTATATTCCAGTTCAGAGGGTCTCCAACCATTTTATAAAAAAGACGTGATTCTGTAACCATTAGTGATAGCCCAGTTAATGAAAACTAATCCAATTCTTTAATGCATATAGTTCATTGAAGTGTTCCTTATTTCATCATATTTTTAGGAAACTGAGTTTTCGTGTGTTTTTACATGGTTTTGAACTTGTCTTAGTATTTTCACAGAATGATTCACATGGTTTTGGAAATAATGTTATTCTCACCTAGCCTAGGAGATTTTGGAAGTAAACTCTGAGGTTATGGAGCAATGCCAATATAGCGTCAGTGATAGAATTATCTTAAATGGTCATCAATTGTATGCTGCGCTTTGCACACTGACTCACCAACACGTGCATGTATGCTTACCCTGCAGCTTTTTATGTATTGACTGTGCATGTCTGATAATACGTTGTTCCCAGGGAATGATAGATGACAGTGAGAGTTGGGTAGGGTTTTTAAAGAAAGAATAGATACCCTGTCTTCTTTGTGCTCCAATGATACTTAGTGTAGTAATGCTCTGTACCTTTGTTGAAAATGTTCAGCTGTGTTTGTAATGAATGAATTCACCTGAAGACTAGGGTAATTCTGACTTCTATTAAATAACTTCTATAGGTTCAGATTCAGTTATGTATTTTTTTTTTTTTTGAGGTATAAATTGAAATTTTGTGGAGGATTCTTATACTATAACCAAATGAAAAACAGAAAATAACAACTACAAGTCAACTATCAAATGTAATTCCTTTTCTAGGATTTTATTTAGACCACAAACTCCTAAAGGGCAAAGAATACCATGTTTGTGCAGTATCTGGATAGTATTTAGAGCATAATGAATAATCCTGACATGAGGTCAAATTTAAAAAAAATTATTTATGCTGTGAAGTCATCTAGTCAACCCTCTGTATCCAGGCAGGCTGAACTGTAGCCATGATAGACAGATGACATTACTGAAGACACTTTCCAGTATTCCCTTTTGAGGACTCTTGTCATGTTATTGGCTGTCACTTTTGGTTTTGTACCTCTTTCTCCAGTCATCCTAATTGGACTGGAATTCCAGTGGGATGGCTCTCCTGTTTTGCTGTGGGAAATAGATTGAGCAGAAGTTATGGCCCATTCTCCTAACTTAAATTGGACCAAAGGGCTCAAATCAGTGGAATGAGAGCTTTAGCTTCCCTAAAGCACAGTACTCAGGGGACTCATTCTAGATAAAGCTTAAGGCCACAGTAGCCAGCCAACACAAAGCACGATTTCAGACTCTAGTTCTTTCTCTGCAGCATTTTTCTTGAGCATCCTAACCTACAGTGGTCTTCATTTGTGCTGTTGTATAGCTGTCTGTGCCACTGATCTGGCAGTTGGCGTAAGTTTAAAGTGATTTCTACTAACACCTGTTTATTTGACACATACTTCAAAATTAATTTTTTATTAAGGGTTTGAATAAATCATTTCCATTCTCAGATTTTCTGTATGTCTTCTATAGCGTCTGAGAGCGAGTCCATTTATTGTTACTTTCAAGACCCACTTGCTTCACTTTACTCATTTTGTTGTTTCCTCTAAGTGAATCTGCTGTAAGCTTATTTGCACAAACCATTTCATTAAAACTGTTTTCTTCCATTCTACTCCAGATGCTAATCAACCTCATGCCTCCCATTTTCCAAGTTCTCTCTTAGTTCATCCAAAGCCATCTTTAAAACCTCTTTATATAGTAGCACCATATTTTACACTGGCATCAGGGGTCAAGGAAACATCTGCTTCATAAAGTTTCTGCTTTGTAGTGGAAGAGAAGTACATTTGTCTATCAACATGAACCCAGGAGGGTGCAACTGGATATATAGCACAACTAACACCTCTAGATAAGAGATTTTAGTATTGGGTATCCCCCTCATTTATTTCCAAGTGTATCAAACAAAGTAAAAGAACATCTTAAAGTTTTAAAAATGACCTTGAAACGTGATCGTACGTGGCAGCACGTATTACTCATTTTGTAGGTTTATTGACAAGCGGTGATGTGGGCTGTGTCATCATAGAAGATACTTTCAGAGGGCTACAGATGGAGTTGCAGTCATATGTGTGTATATATGTTCTAAACTCAGATTCCAAACTTTCTGGGGATACTTTTCATTATAAAAATACTTCATAGACTAGCCCATTCAATGAGGAAGGGTATAGTTTTTAAAGTAGCTGATAATGAAATCTCTGTATTAACCCATTTTTCTTTTCTTTCTTTTTTTTTTCCTTTTTTAGCTGTGAATGGTCTTGATTTATTTACACATATCTCTTGTAATCATTTTTCCAGGTGTTCCAATTAGTAAGCATCGTAACTATTGAAGCACATTTGATTGGATTTTACATTTGATT